AATCCAACCTCAGATACTTATTGGCTGTATGACCCTGGACAAGTCACTTCACCCTGTTTGCCTCAGTTTCCTCATCTATAAAATGAGCTGGAGAAGGAAATGGTGAACCACCCCAGTATCTTTGCCAACAAAACCCTTAACAGGGTCACAATAAGAGTGAACAACAACTATGTAAGAATGCTAGAAAGGTCTAATGGGCTATTGAAGAAGAGATATGGCTCTGCACCCCTCCCCCACCCCCCTCAAAAAAGGGGAGGGGCTGTATCTTGTTCTCAGATTGGGTGACCACCATAAAATGAGCAACCTTTGCCTGGCCAAGGTAAACAGAAAAAGATAGGACTGAATGGTGACGGCTTAGGAGCTCTTGGGGTGTGGGGGAAGGAAGTTTAGTCTCAGCCAGGGGAATATTTAGCTAGAGAAACTGGCCTGGGCCGTAGCTAGCTCTGGTGTGGGGAGGGTGGGAAGGAGGGTCCCCGGCTACCTCCCCACACCTGTGGTCCTCTCACTGTCCCAGACCCACACCTGCCTGGGTGCTGCTGGGATGACAAAGGCCGCTTGGGGAGGGAGGCAGGCAGAACTCCCGGCCCTCCCGGGCTGAGGCCTGGAACACCTAGTGTGACTGGCCCTGACACCCTGTGATAACGCTTGAGGATGGGGAACATGGTGCCCTCCATAATGTGGGAGAGCAAGGATGCCATGGAGGAGGCTGACGACACCTCCTTATCCATGGGCTTTGGTCCTCCCCCCTCCACCAGTGTCCTTCTCTCCCTGGGCCCAGGGTAGCCACTCCTCTGTTTCCTCCCACCTCCCAAGGCCTCCTAGCCTTCCCCTTGGAGACACCCTATGTCTTCCTCAAAGGCCAGAGCCAGATCTCGCAGAAGCTATAGCTAGTTACTGGCTGGGGGTGGAGGGGATGAGAAGAAAGGCGTATGAGGGGAAACAGAACCCCCCACACCATGATCCCTGCTCAGATCAGGACTCCAGCAAAGCTTCCTTTGTTAGGACCCTGTAGGCCTTAATGTCTCCTGCCAAGCGTTCAGTCAACAAATGTTTATGAAACACTTATTGGGCCTTGGGCACTGTGCTAAATCGCCTGTGATAGAAGGAAAGGCAAAAACCGTCTGTGCCCTTAAGAAACAGTCTGTGGGGAATGGCATGGGGCGGGAAGAGCTACGTTCAAACAGGATAAATTGGAGGTAATCTCAGAGTATATCGAGTCATTAAGGCAGAGATTAAGGAGGACTGGGGAAGCCTCTTATAGAAGGTGGAACTAGCTGAGATGAAGGCGAAACCCGCAAAGCCAGGAGGAGATGAGGGAGAGAGTTCCAGGGAAGGGGAGCAGCCAGAAGAAGGGTCCACTCTGAGGTCAGGCAGTCATCCTAGACTGGGATGGAAGTTGCAGGGTCCCCAGGTCTCAGCCTCTGCTTAGGTCCACTCCTGGGGCCCTTCCCTCGGGGGAGGAGGAGGGAGAGAAAACTTGGAACTCAAACATTTTTTTTAAAATGAACGTTAAAAGTTGTCTTTACAGATAACTGGGGAAAAAATAAAATATTATTTTTTAAAAAAGAGAGATTGTTCAATGAAGCTTTGTTAACAGTGGCTTCAGTCACTACCCACTATGTGGAAAAAGAAGGAACTCTAGTTTTGGGGATGTTTTGGTGGTGGGAAATTGATGATCTGTTAAATATTCTACAAAAGTATCAGCTCAAAAAAAACCCCACAATGTGTGCGTGCATGGTCTAGCTGTCCTACAGATTTAAATAATCTCTTAACTTCCCAATCTGGTAGCCTTTCCTCAGTCCTCATCTTTTTTTTTAAAATTGATTTTAATTTTAATATAATTTATTTATTTTTAAATTTTTAAAAAATTAATTAAAATTAATTTATTTTAATAAAATAAAACAAGCATTTCCATAGCATAACAAAATTTAAAAATCATACATGAAACTGCAAATCTATTATGTACAACTTTTAAGTATATAATAGTTATCATAAATTTTTTCTTCCCTCCCCCCACCCTAGAGATGGCTACCATTAGACACAAATATGCATATGTGTGTAGAACCATTCTATACATACTTCTATTCATCAGCTCTTTCTCTGGATGCAGATAGCGTCTTCCTTCATATGTCCTTTGTAGTTAATTTGGGTATTACAGTTAAAATGACTTATTTGCCTAGAATGGTTCTTAAAATAGTCTTTCTATTACTGTGTACAACATTCTCTTGGTTCTGCTCATTTCACTCTTCATTATTTTGTGCAAGTCTATCCATGTTTTTTCTAAAATCAACAAGCTAATCACTTCTTCCAGCACAGTAACATTCCACCACAATCATATACCACAACTTGTTCAGCCATTCCCCAACTGATGGGCATCCCTGCAGCTTCCAGTTCTTTGCCACCACAGAGAGAACTCTATAAATACTGTATTTATATAAATATCGTCATCCTTCTTGACCACTGACAGTGGTGACTTCCCCGCATCCCTCCTCCTGAATAATTTCTCCTCTCTTGATTTTCTTGACCCTGTTCTCTCTTGGTTTTCCCTCTACTTATCTGTAGTCTTCTTCTCACTGTTTTTTTCTGCTGGATCATTACCCATATCATACCTCCAACTTTGTTTTTGACCCTGGGCAAGTTATTTAACCTCTGCTTGCCTAAGTTTCCTCACCTGTAAAAATGGAAATAGTAATAGTACCTACCTCCCAGGGTTGTTGTAAGGATCAAATCAAATCGTATTTGCCAAGTGCTTTGCAAGCCTTAAGGGGCTGTATAAATGCTAGCTATTTTTTTTCTCTTATCCCTCTATACTTCCACCTCATCAGGTCCCATTGACTTAATTATCAACTCCCAAGATGACTCAGGTCAATATATGTAGCCCTAAACCCTCTCCTGGACCACATCACCCAACTTGTCACTAGGCATTTCAAACAGGATGGTTGATAGGCATCTTGAACTAAACATGTACAAATAGAACTCATTATCTTTTCCCCCAAAGTCTCCCTTCTTCTGATCTTCACTATTTTTTGAGGACCCTACCATTTACTCAGGTCTGCAACCTTAGTGTCATCCTCACCTCTTCACTCTCACTCAATCCTATGCAAGTATATTTGGTACCTGTTCCTTTCTCTGTACTCACATGGCCACAACCCATGTTTAGTCCTCTTCCTTTTCAGTTCATCTGCCTTACAAGTGTCAAAGTTATTTCCCTAAAGTACAAGTCTTACTATAACATTCCCTTACTCAATAAATTCCAGTGGCACCAGCCCTAGATTCAGGAAGACCTGAGTTCAAATTTGACCTCAGACACTAGTTATGTGAACCTGGGCAAGTCACTTAACCCCATTGTTTAGCCCCCCCAAAAAAAATTTAAAAAGAAGAGGAAAATAATCAGTATAAGTGATCAATACAACAAAAAAAAATCTGGAAATATTTGCAACATACAACATATCTGAAACCACCATCTCTGCAAAGGATTGAGATCGGGGTGTCTTTTATCTCTTTCTCTGAACCAAATTTGTTCTTTATAATTTTGCAACATTCACTTTTTTTTGTGGTTCTTTCCATTTACATTGTTGTGATCTGTAGAATACATAGACTGATATTTTGCCTTTGGTAAGAAAAAAAATATTCCCTATTAGCTGAGTTATCTTTTGAAAGAGATTGCTCCCTGGGAAGACTTACACAAACTGATGCAAAGTAAAGTGATCAGAACCAGAAGGACATTACACACAGCAACAGCAATACTGTATGATGATCAACTATGAATGACTTAGCTCTTCTCAGCAATGCAATGATCCAAGACAGTCCCAAAGGACTCATGATGAGAAATGCTATCCACCTCCAGAGAAAGAACTGATATTGTCTGAATAGAGAATAAACAAAACTACTTGTTACTTTCTATAATTTTTTTCATGTTTTTTTTTCTCCTTTTGGGTCTGTGTTTTCTTTTGCAACTTGACTAATACGGTAATATTTTTTGCATAATTGAACATCTATAATCTATAACATGTAAAATGGGGATAATGATGGCACCTATCTCCAAGGGTTGTTGTGAGGATGAAATAAGATGAGTTGTAAGGTGCCTGGCACATAGTAGGTGCTTATTACTTTCCCTAACTATGAAATTGTTTTCCTATACTCCCAGAAATTCTTACACCTGGTTGGGTATCAGAACAGAGAACTCTGTGCTTCAATTTTGTATAATCTGGTCTTTTCCTATCTTTTTTTTTTTTTTTAACACCTTACTCTCCTTCACGTGTCCAGGATCCAGTCACACCGGTCTCCTTACCATTTCATGAACAAGACACTCCATCTTCCAGCTCTGTGTCTTTTCTCTGGCTCTCTCGCATTTGTGAAATACCCTCCCTCCCCATCTCTGCCTCCTGCCTTCCCTGGCTTCCTTCAGGTCCCAGCTAAAATTCCACTTTCTACATGAAGCCTTACCCAATCCCCCTTAATTACAAGAGCCTTTCATCTGTTGATTATTTCCAAATTAGCCTGTCCAGAATTCATTTGTAAAAAGTTGTTTGCTCATTGTCTCCCTCATTAGACTGTGAGCTCCTTGAGGGCAGGGGCTGTCTTTTGCTTCTTTTTGCATCTCCAGTACATAGCGCAGTATCTGGCCTTTAATAAACGTTTATTGATTTTTGAATAAGGGCCATTGACTATTGACCAACTAACTGAAAGGAAGCCCTATAAGAAAATCAAGGTGAGTTTGTACTCAGAGATATCTCTCTGTGTTCATCTCCGTTGCATTGCAAGTGAAAAAAAAAATCTGTTGACTAGTGACTGTTTCTGAGTTTTTCTTTCAGCGACACAACAATCCCCAGAGCCTAGGTAGCATAATGCCGGGCAAATAGCAGCCCTTTCATCCATGTTTGCTTGCTAATTGACTGATTGATGGGTACTGGGATCCCTGAGCGCAGAGACTCGTCATTTTTTATTCCCGTATCCCCAGCACTGAGCACCAGGACCCTGCACAAAGTCGAGGCTGAATATTCGGCCATTGTTTGTCTATTGGAATTTCTGTTGCCACGTAACCCCCCGAAGAAGCAACAACACAGGTCCCGACTACCTTAACATTGTTTCATAGGACAATGATTTTGCAGACAAGATGTTAAACAAACAAAATCCAAAGAAGTTCCAGGTACATAACTTTTGGAAACATGACCCCCCCCCCACACCCTTAGGCACTTTCCCACACATGGGAGGGACCCGAGAAACCGCAGCCTGCCACGTTCCCTCCCGCGTTCCCCCCCTTGCTTCCTCCCGTCTCCGATTTCCCATCAGTCACTCCGGAGTTATATACCCTGTGCCTTCTGCTTATTGTTAGTCATTGAAATTTTATCTGTGGCTCCCTCCCAAGGTAAAGAAAACCTTTTGAAATATCTTGAGTCTTTTTTTTTTTAACGGCTTTATCCCTTCACAATGCACTTTGAGCAGCCTCTCGTCAGACCTGTGAGGCTCTGGGGATGTTCGTTTAGTATCTTCTGTCATCGGGCCCTCAAGGTGGAGTGGGGTGCACTTCCACCCCCTGGAGGAACCTGGGGTGAATCTCCCACGGGGGACAGTGCTCCACATGGCCACCGCCTGCCTCCTCTCCAGATTCCTGGCCCCTAGAGAGGGAATCCTTTGATCTCACTGACTTCCCTCCACGTGACCGTGGAATGGGACCCTCGCTCTCTAGATCTCATTGTGGTGCTGGGGCTCTTGCTCCCCAGAGAGCAGGTTAGGAGTACAACAAGAGTCATTAGCTCCCATTTCTGCAGCGCTTCATGGTTTATAACCTCTTTGTGAGGTAGGCAGGGCAAGGTGGTACCGTCTGGAGGCTTGTTGAGGGGACCTAGTGGACCTGGGCTTGTGCAGGGTCCTGGAGATGGGAGATGGAATGCACACGGATTAGCAGATAGAGCTGTTTTTAGCATCTCTGGGAAGGGAGCTAACTTGCTGAAGGTCATGCAGCTAGTAAGTAAGCAGAGGAGTTAGAAGTCCAAGCTTCCTGACTCCTAGTCCAAGGCTCTGGGCACCCCGACCCTCGCCACCTCCCTCCCCGATGTTCCTGTTATGTAAAAGGGGAGGCTTCTTTAAACTTCCATGGGAACTGTTCATCAGTCTCACAAGATCTCAGAGGCAATTTAGAGATCACTTAATCCGACTCTTAAAGAATTGAGATCACTTAATCCAGCTCTTACAAAATTACCTCTTAAACGGCCAGGCATATAATTGTCATCTAGCAGCCACTTAAGGGACCTGTGTTGATGGGGAACTCATTACCTCTCAAGGCAGCCTATTTTGAAACAGCTTGGATACTGAGCAAGCTACAAAGATCTGCCCTCATGAGGGGGGCTGGAGGATATTAGGTATTGTATTTAAGGCAAGCGTGGCTGGGAGGAAATTCTCACGTGATAGCCAAGTAAGAAGTTAGCTCAAGTCAGTGAGGGGGGGCTGATGGCCCAGACCCGTGTGGACAGAATTGGAGTGTTTCAAAAGCAGACCCAGACGCTGTAACTTAGTAATTCTGTATTCTAGTTAAATGTTGCTTTAGTCTCTTAAATATTGGCAAAGCCACTTGAGGAAGGTAGGCTCAGGAGTGGCAGTGCCCTGGAGGAAGGGAGGGAGGGTAGCGTAGGGCCTGTCTACACAGACAAGGTCCTTTCTTCCCTTCTTCCTGGTCCAGTAGAGAGCAAAGAGTCTCCACAAGAAGGAACCACGTGAGCTCCCCACTTCTGGCCTGTCCTAAGCTGCTGCTGTCCATCTTGGGTTCCTGTGCCTCTTTTCTCCATTTGGGAGTTAGGGACAATCGGCCTTGCCCTTCAGCAAGACGAAAGGGAGAGAGGGAAGGCCTTTCTCTTCTTAAGATTATTGGACTTGAGAGCTAGAAAAGAACTTTGAGTTAACTAGACCAATGGAGAAACTGAGCTTAAGAGAAGAGGAAAAGACTTGCCCAAGGTCCCATAGTGAATCTGTAGCAAAGTCAGGATTTGAACCCAGGCCCTCCAATTCCTAAATGGAGAACTTTTCTCCAACGCCACCAGCTGCTACCCTCTGCGCCCAGCCCACAAAGCATCAAGCCGGGGCCCCAGGGCACAGAAGGAAGGCCGGTCCTTGGGGTTGTAGGCCCAACAGCTCCTCATGATCTCTCGAACCTGTGAGGGTAGGAGAGACTGGGCTTAGCCTTACAGACAGACCTCCCTCAGAGGGGACTCATCTCTCACCCCCAGCTCCTCCCCAGGCTTTCCCTCCTGGATGAGTTTCACCTCGCCAGTGAGAGAACACCAGAAGGTCTTCACCCTTTCTTAGCTGCCCCAGCCCAGGCCCCTATTGAGGGAGGGGGGATGTTGGCTTACCTCTCCTGGGCAGCCAGGAGGAGTGGGCAACCGCCTGCCCTCCGTAAGCAGCTCCAGCAGGTGGCAGAGGATGGGCATGGAGCGGTCACATGCCATCATTCGGAAGAACTCCTGGTGGGGTGAGGGAAGGAGACACTCAGGGGGAGAGACAAAAGATGAACTGGGGCAAAGAGCAAAGTTCACCAAGGGGGGGCAAGGGAGAGAGAGGAAGGTCTCACACGGTGTGAGAACCTGTCATTTCATGTAGGGATCTCAGCAAAGGGTCAGAGGAGGCCCAGGCAGGCCCTTAGGCAGGATGAAAGAACGGGTGAACAGAAGGACAGGAGGCTCTCAGGTCAGGTCTAAAGGACAGACAGAGCCCTGCTCTGCTCCCCCATGCAGAGATCGGTCCCCATGGACAAGCTTCTAGCTGGACACAAGCCAAGATCCGCCATCTAGTGTCCCTGTGGGCACTGAGGTGCATGGCCAGGCAAACCCCCCTCTTTACCTTACAACGGAAGCCACTATAGGATTGGGGGATGAGGAGCCAGGGAGAAGGCCCCCCCCCCCGGGTGGAGGCAGAGGCCTCCCACAGGCTTTTCTCTAGAAGCCAAGGGAGAACCAGTTGAGCGGGGCTGGCCAAGAAGCTGGCCTTCCCACCCCTGGCCTTCTACCACAGAGTGACACTGTGTTGCATTCATCCTGTAAAATCTACCTCCAAGGTCACTTCTTTCAAGAAGACTGCTCTAATCCCCAGACACACCTCATTCCTAGCCCTCATTCCTACCCCTCCTATGTGCTAATATTCACATTTGGAGCAGGGTGATTGCTGGCCTAGTCACATCTCCAAGGAGGCAGGGACAGGATCTCATTTACATTGATTTGTATCAAGATATTTGTATATTGATTGTATATTTAGATTTATTTGTATCAATATATTTACATCAATCTAATAAAAGATTGATTTAGTTAGATATAGATTTTGAGCTGAAAGCAATCTTGGAGACCCCTGTAGTGCAGGAGTATTTAGCCGGGAGCCCGTGGACTTGGTTTTAAAACCTTTCGATAACCATTTCTTTTTAAGGGGGGGAGGGGTCTGGGGCTACCTGTCTCACTGTTTCTGCAAGCCCAGGGGCCACTCACAGATAATCATGACTCACCAGCCTGAGCCTCCCTTCCAGTAACTTGGAATACAAGCATACATGTACCACCCCATTCAGCTTCCTAATTGTTTCAAAATGACTGGTTTTCCTTGTAATCTTATGCATTTTATTTTATGTTTTTAAAAACATTCTGAGAAGGAGTCTTTTAGGTTTCACTACACTGTCAGTGGGGCACATGGCACAAAAAAAATTTTTTAAGAACACCTGACTTTGTATAACACTTTCATTTTACATTTGGGGAAACTGAGATACTGAAAGTGAATCAATCAAGATCACATAGATTGGGAGCAGACAGGTGGCACAGTGGATAGAGCACCAACTCTCTGGGGTTAGGAAGACCTGAGTTCAAATCTGGCCTCAGACACATGATACTTACTGGCTGTGTGACCCTGGGCAAGTCACTTAACCCAGAATGGCAGAGAGGACTTTCTAGAGAACCCAAGATCTCTAACTCTGAAAGTAGAGGCTCTTTCCTTACAACACACTGCCTGCATTTATTTGTCTACCTCTCCCCCTTAGTGCCTACCATAGGGCATTGCACTACATAAATACTTGTTGAATAAATGAATGTTATCTAGATAAGCCTTGGTTTCATTCATGAGTATCAGGGTGAGAGGGATGCATCAGAAATGGATTGACCCCATACCAAATTCAAGAGATAACCTTAACGAATAGCTAGGGTGCCCCATTAATAGCATGTAATGGCCAATTTTTCTTTTTAGGGCATTTTTCTCCTCATTGGCTTTTTGGACCTCTTTTGCCATTTGGGTTAGGCTGTTTTTTAAGGTGTTATTTTCTTCACTATTTTTTGGGTCTCCTTTAGCAAGCTGTTGACTTGTTTTTCATGATTTTCTTGCATCACTCTCATTTCTCTTCCCAGTTTTTCCTCTACTTCCCTTACTTGCTTCTCAAAGTCCCTTTTGAGCTCTTCCAAGGCCTGGGACTGATTCATATTTTTCTTGGAGGCTTTGGATGTAGGAGCTTTAACTTTGTTGTCTTCTTCTGGTTGTATATTTTGATCTTCTTTTTCACCAAAGTAAGATGATATAGTCTGACTCTTTTTGCGCTGCTTGCTCATGATCCCAGCCAATTACTTGAGTTTTAAACTCTTTGTTAAGGTAAGAGTCTGCTTCCAATGTGGAGAGTGTACTGTCCCAAGCTTCAGGGGTTTGTGTAGCTGTTTTCAGAGATACTTGTAGGGTCCAATAGCATGTAATGTCAAGAGGAGGACAGGAAAGCCCTCAACACATTGGGTGGCTATCCCTCCCCATCCTGAAAATGAAGGGAGGACACACGGACAAGAGATGAACAGGTCAAGGTTCATCTTGGCAAGGGACTTCAAGTGAATGAGATCACAGATAAAGTGGAATTTTGGAGTATGGAAAGAACTGTGTGGAGGCAAGAGTCTGGAACTGAGGGTCAGAAGATCTAGGCTTAAGTTTTGGGTCTGCTCCTGACTGACTGTGTGACCAGAAAGCAGTTGAGGAAAGGGGCATTCTAAGGGGGAAGGGGCTATTCACACATACATCAAACACAAGTCCCCTATCCTTTCATATATAAATGGTACTCCAGACCCATGTGTGTGTATATGTACACATATATAGGTATAAATGTACATGTATACACATATACACATATATATACGTGTGTGTATATGTGTGTGTGTGTGTGTGTGTGTGTGTGTGTGTGTGTGTTGAGCAGAGGGTTCTTAAAACCAGGGTCAGGGAGAGATTTTTTTTGGGGGGGGAAGGGAGAGGGGTCCATGAACTTAGATGGGGAAAAAATGACATCTTTATTTTCACTAACCTCTAATGGAACATTAGAACTTGCTTTAATTATTTAACAACATGATTCTGAGAAGAGGTCTATATACTTCACAAGACTGATTGTCAAAGTCACAAAAAGAGGTTAAGGATGCATAAAGTGGAGTGAAGGTAGCCTGGGAATGGGGTGGGGTGGAGGGTGATACAACAGCTTCATTTTATAGATAAAGAAACTGAGTCCCATACAGGTTATGTAAATTGCCCAAAGTCATGTAGCTGAGACTACATTCAAATCCTGTGCCCTTTATACTATGCCACAGTCTCTCATTTTATAGATAGGGAAACTGAGTCATAGGGAGGAGTGGACTGTGTCGAACCATGGAAAGCCTAGAGTTTGGAAGATATATGTATATACATACACATATACATATATACACACATATATACATACATACACATAGATGTATATGTGTATGCATATGTATGTGTATCTACATATATACACATATACATGTATATATGTACATATATATATATACATATACACACACACACACACACGCATTTTTATCAGACCTTTGATTTCAATCAGACATGTGATTTCTTTGGCGTAGAGAACTCGTGGTGAGTTCCACCAACAGACAGATCAGCAACTGTTCTGACTCAGAGCATTAGAGAGTTTCTCGGATCACTTGCCCAGGGTCACACAGCTAGTATGTGTCAGAGGAGGGATTTAATGCCAGGTCTTTCTGCAAAATGAAGGGGCTGGGCTAGTTGTCACTAAGGTTCTTTCCAGATCTATAGCCTATCTGATTCTCAAACATCCCACACAAAGTAAGCAGTCCCAGGTATTAATATTTTTCTTACACATGAGGAAACTGAGTCACAAAGTGGCTAAGTGACCTATACAAGGTCACATAGCTCGTAAGTGGAAGGGCAGGGATTCAGAGCCAGGTCATAGCATCATAGATTTAGTCCTGGAAAGGATGTTATGATCATTTCATTCAAGAGCCTCATTTTATACTTAAGGGAGTTGATGACTTGTCAAAAGGCCCTTTGGGGTCAAAAGTCCCAGAAGTGACCTTCTCACACCAGAGCCAGCACTCTTTCCTCTCTCCAGCATCTGAGGTAAGAAGGAAGATTCGGAAACAATCTCAAAAGGATAGACTAGCAGCCAGTTCCAAAAGGGCACAGAGATAGAAGAAAGGAGAGAAATGGAAAGGTGAAGGAGTGAGATGTGGTCCAGAGGCAGGGTGAACAAAGGTCAGGGTGTACGTCGGGAGCCCCATGTCCAGAGAGTCTCTCAGCTTGGCAGGCCATGAGGCAGGGAAGGAGGAAAGGTACTCACCTCTGAAGGGCTGTGGGCTTTGTCACTATATGTATAAAGCTCATAGAGGACCACGCCAAAACTCCAGACATCAGACTCCCTGGAGAAGATGTTGTCTGACAAGGACTCTGGGGCATACCTGGTCAGGCAGAAAGGAGAGGAAGAGAGAGAGGAAGGAGAACAGCATTGTAAGAGGGGTCAGGACACTGGGGCTTTGGCTCAGGGTGGAAAATTTTATAGTGCTATCCCAGGATAAATTCCTCTCCTGTTCATCCCAGAACATATTTCCTCCTCCTTTAGCAATTTAGGAACCTTATTATAACTCCAAATGCCCTCCCTTATGACAGATGAGTCAACTCCCAAACTCAGAGACCACCTTGCTAGCTAGGGCTCTGCAAAGGGAGAAGAGAAGAGAGAAGGGGATGGGGTCTGATGGCAAAAGGAAGAGGGATAGGAAACAAAAGGAAAAGAAATGAAGAGAATTAGGCATAGTTCTCTCACCTTGCAGGGATGTTCATCTTGTAAGCCTTAAAGCTCTGTATGACTTATTATAATTACTCTAATGCTAAGTTATTAATTATAACCTCAGTTGGGTTATTCTTCTATTCTACCCTAGTCCACTCCTTACGATCAAATGCTCCTAATTTTTTCCTCTTACTCTCACCCCACCTCCACCCCCAGAGCAGGGTGGCCTAAGATTGGCTTGGAAGACTCTGGGTCATAGGATTTGAACATTGTCAGCTGCCATCTTTTCTTCATACATTCTCCACACCCAGCTTGTGTGCCTCCTTCCACATGAGGCCTTTCCTTATTCTCCACACCCCACACTCCATGTGCCAGGGCCTTCCTCCTTCGTCTAGCTTACAACTCCTTGTTTATCCAAATCTTTGTCATAGAATGGAAGTTCCTTGAGGTCACAGACTGGGAGATCTCAAATATACTGTACATGCTTAGTTTCGAATACCCTTCTCTCTGTAGATGGCTCCCAAGTCTCTCCTCCTCATCCTCTTCCTTCTTCTTCAATTGGGGTTAAGTGACTTGCCCAGGGTCACACAGCTAGTAAGTGTCTGAGGGCAAATTTGAACTCAGGTTTCCCAGACTCTAAGGCCAGTGCTCTGTCCACTGCACCACCTAGCTGCCCCGGGCACCCAAATCTCTTATCTCTTCAGCTCTGTACCTCCCACTGCCTCTAGGATATCTCCACTGGACGTCCTACCACCACCTCCAAACCAGACTCTTGTCTTTCCCTCTAACCCCATCCTCCTAATGGCTTTGTAATTTCTGTCTATGGCTCCATCTAGGTCCCAGGTCTCCCTTTTCCACAGCCTCGTGTTATCTTTGACTCTTGCCTCTCTCCTAAGTCTAACAAAGGATCAATAACCCCATCCTAGCAGAAGCAGCTCTTACACATATCCTCTCACTTCCAAGACCATCCCCAGAGGACAGGTCCTCATTACTATCTCCCTGAACTAATGCTCTAGCCTCCTTCCAGAGCTTTCCACTCTGAATCTCCCTCCCCACCTTCTCACACTACTGCCAGGATCAACTTCCAGATACCCAGACCTGTCCATCTTTGGGTCAGAAATCTTCCAAAACTCCCTATTACCTCAGGGGTAGTTAAAAATCTTCCACCTGATCCTTCAGGGTCTGCTACAACCCCCCTTGGGAAGTGTATAGTGGTTCTGTGGCTGGAGGTAGGGTTAGAAAGAGCTAGGTTCAAATCCTGACTCTTCCACACACTGTTTCAACTTGGGCAAACCTGGGCAAATCACCTGGGCCCGAGCTTTGTTATCTGTAAAATGAGAGGATCAGGTGACCTGGAAGGCACCTTTTAATGCTCAATCTATAATCCTTTCCCACACTTATCTCATGTTACTCCCTTCTACTTGCTTTACGCTTCAGCCAAATTGTACAGTTCCTCTGCCTCTGTACCTCTGACTAGGCTTTCCTTGTTCCCTGAAGGCTAACACCCCTAGGCAGCCCAACGGACAGAGGGCTGGACTTGGAATCAGGGAAATCTGAGTTCAAATCCAGCCTCAGTCATTACTAGGTGTGTGAGCCTGGCTAAGCCACTTAACTGCCTTTGGCCTCAGTTTCCCCATCTGTTAACTGGGGATAATAAGAACACCAACCTCCCAGAGGTGTTGTGAGGATCAAATGAGATAATATTTGTAGAGCACTTTGTGAACCTTGAAGTACCATCTAAATCCTAGCCAATATAACTGCTATAATTATTGCTCCCCCAGACTTCCACCCAGGGGAGCGATTCTGATGCTTCCTCTTCCAGGCAGCCTTTCCAAATGACTGTCCAGGCTCAGAGCCCAGTTGTTGAACAGAAGAGGAAATTTATCATGGGATAGCACTATAAAATTTTCCACCCTGAGCCAGAGCCCCAGTGTTTCAACCCTTCTTACAAGAGCCCACAGTCTAGCTTATCGCCTGGCACCAAGTAAACCTTTAAGAACTACTTCTTGAGTTGAATGCTGTGCATTGGTGTTGGGTGCCCTAGGAGGCTGGGCCCAGTTCAGAGCTTAGGGTCTTATGACACATAGCAGGTGCTTAAGAGAGGTTTGTGTATTAGTACTCCTTCCTTCTGGGGAAAGGGCAATGGAGCAGAGAGAAAGAGAGGAAGAGAAATGTATGGGTGAGCGATACAGACAATTGCAGGGTGAATACACACACACACACACACACACACACACACACACACACACACACATACACACACACCCCTTACTGAAGGCATCTCCCGAGACCATCCCAGGCTCTCCAGGGACTAGAACAGGGTGAAGGATGGAGAGGGGAGGCAACTCTCTTAATACTTGCCAGGGCACATGAGACACGGGGAAGGGGAAGGGGTGAAACTGGGGGCTCCGGGCACTCACCAGAAGATGGGGCTCTGGCCAGGCTCCCTGACTACGTAGTATTCTTTGTCCTGGGGAAGAAGTTTGGCCAGGCCAAAGTCTCCAATCTTCACGTGGCTCTCACTCTCCACCAAGATGTTCCTGTTGGCTAAGTCTCTGTGAACATATCGCTGAGAGCCCAGGTATTCCATTCCCTGGAAGGAGGGCTGAAGGTCAGGGAGGACCCCAGTACTGATTGTGATGACCCCCAGCCTTGGCTCTGACCCCAGATCTTTAAAGCCGGTCTGTGATCCCCTTCCAGATCATGATCTCTCTATCCTGACTCAGACCCTGATCGTTTCCCAGACCTGGTCAGTCAAGGCCTGTGAGTATGTACTGGAGAGGGAACACCATGGCCCCAGTGTTCCTCCCTAGCTCTGCCTGCTGGCCCAGTTGGCTCAGTGGAAAATGGGAACCACTCCAATACCCAGAGATCTCTCTGCTCCTGCCTCCACAGACCCTCCTCCCAGCCCCTCTGCCCCTAGGAACCTTGCAGATCTGGGAAGCGTAGAGGAGGAGGAAACAGGGGTCTAGGTGGGCCCGGTGACGCTGCAGGTAGTCCCGGAGGCAGCCGTTGGGGAGGTATTCCATAACGAGGCGCAGACTCTGTCGGCCTGGGTAGGAACAACAGCTGCTGTCAGTCTTGCGTTCCCCACCTCTCCCCCTCACAAGGTTCTCCCTTGGGAGAACCCCAAGCCGGAGAATTTGAGAACCCAGAATCAAAAGCTGGAAGGGGCCTTGGAGGTCCCTAGGCAGCATGGGGTGGGGTGGGAGAAAGAAAGCTCTGGCCTGGCCTCAGCATCCCTGGGTTTGAATCTAGATGCCCACACTTCCTGGCTGTGTGACTGAGCTAATTACCGCTCCTCTCTAACGCTAAGGCCCAAAGAGCCCCCTCTGCTCCTTCCTCACGGGGCTGCTGGGAGGCAAAGATTTTTGTGGCGTTTTAAAGCCCATAGACAAGATGGCTGTCCTCCTCGGCACCTAGCTTCAGCCTGGCCTGCTTGAACCTCTGCCTCTTAGTGTCTGGAGCGTCCACTAAAGCTCAGACCAAGTGCCATCTCCCACTGAAAGCCTGTCCTGATCCCTGGTAGCTCCTCATGTATATCGGTCATGTGTTGTACAGCTCCCTCCCCTGCCCTGCAGCCTATCTTTCCAGGCTGATAACACATTATTCCCCCTCACACCTACTCTACCCTCTGGGCAAATTGGGCGATTTGCTGTTTTCTGGTACTTAACCTTCCATTTACTGCCTCTAAGCCTTTGTCCAGGCTGTACCCCCTGCCTGGAATGCTCACCTTCTTCACTTCTGCCTCCCGGAATCCCAAGCTCCCTTCAAATCTCAGCATAAGTTAATACTGCCTCCTATCCAGATTCCTCAGTTGTTGTTAATGCTCCTTCCCCATAAAAATTACTTTGGATTTATTTTTATCTATATTTCCTTATTTGTGTATATTTTGCCTCTCTACCTCCCACCCCTCCCCCCAGTGGAATATAAGCAGGACCTTGAGAGCAGGGCTTGTTTCATTATTATCTTTGTGGTTCTAGCACTTAGCACAGTGCCTTGGCACACAGGAGGGATTTAATAAAAAGAATGTTAAGCTGAATTGACTTAGTCATCTACTCTGCCCTGCTGTCTGGTAGATGAACCTTCTCTAGGACATCCTGACAAGTGGCCAGCCAGCCTTTCCCTGAGCAGTTCTAGCAGCAGGGAGCTCAAGCATTGATGACTGAAATATATTGAAAAGACCAGTAGAGTAGGAGTCAGGAGCCCTGGGTATGAATCCCACCTCTACCAAGAGATGACCTGGGGAGAAGAAATCATTTCCCTTCTGTGGGTCTCTGGTTGTGTGTTGTTTTATTTTTTTGGTTTGTTTTTAGGCAATTGGGGTTAAGTGACTTGCCTAGGGTCACACAGCTAGTAAGTGTCAAGTGTTTGGTCTGCGGCTGGATTTGAACTCAGGTCCTCCTGACTTCAGGGCCAGTGCTCTATCTACTGCACCACTAGCTCTACTGCACCACTAGCCGCCCCTCAGTTGTTCATTTTTAAAATGAAGAAAGTTGGACGAGCCACGATTGCTTTCTAAGTCCTCATCTGATGATGACCTCCCCCTCTCCCATCACTGCCGTCTCCTCGTGGGCCGCCCTCTCCCAGGCTGCACTCACCTGGGCCATAGCAGACGCCTCGATATTTGACTATGAAGTCACTGTGTAATGCTTTCAGAATCTGCACCTCTCGCTGGAAGTCCTGAAGCTGCTGGGGCCCACTGTTCTGTAGCTGCTTGACTGCCACCAGCGCTCCCGTGTTATCTCCCAGCGGGTCATAGCGACACAATTCCACACTGCCAAAGTTGCCCTGTGGTTCAGATCAACCAACGTTTATTAAATGCCAATATTGCGCAGACATGTGTTAAGGAGATAAAAGAAAAAAACACAAAACATACACTGTTCTCAAGGATCTCCTAGTTTAGATGGGAAACATGTATACATATTAATATGTTAAAAAGACAATGAATGAATGAATGAAAGAAAAAGGATTTAATTGCTTCCTATGTGTTAAATGCTGGGGATACAAAGAGAAAGAAGACAATCCCTGCTCTCAAAGTGCTTACAGTCTGCTTGAGGATTCATAAGATCATAGATCCAGAAGCAGGAGAGAGGCCATTTGGTTGTACCCCATCATTTTTTACAGTTAAGGAAACTGAGGCCTAGGGAAATGAGGACACTTCCAAGGTCAGATTTGAACCCGACTCCTCAGACTCCAGAACCATTTGCCCTTTCTACTATATCAAGCTATTAACTTCTGCCCAATCAGAATCTTGAACCCTGACCCCTCTGTCTAAAAGTCTGACGCACCACTAACTGAAACTATGCAGGGAGATAACAAATAGAGATTTCAGCTAGGGCACTTAGCAAGGTCCAGGAGGCTTTAAGCACCATTGGGAAGTCTGCCCAAGGAAGCAGCAGCTGGAAGGATGAAGAAGAGCCTAACCGGGGAGATGGAGCATAGGCTAAGTCAGATATCACTAAGGCTAAGCCTGGGTCCTTCACCTCCCCATCCCTTTTCCATATGCCCTTCACCTTGCCCAGCAGGGAGATATATTTAAGGTGTCTCTCCTCAAAGAGGGTGGGGTCCTGGCCAGCCATCAGGTGAGCGCTGCTCCAGAGTCCATCCCGAGCCGCCACAGCACTAGGTGAGAGATCTGAGAGGAGCTCATAATCTATCGGGATAATAGTAGTATTAACTCGTATTTATATAGTGCCTTGAGGTTTGCAAAACACTTTACGAGGTGCTCTTATCTCATTTTGTTCAGAACCTCAGAGCTGGAAGAGATCTCAGCATCGCCTACCCCAACCCCCACCTGAAATGGGAATAGTTCCCTCTTCAGGGGTGGGGAACCTGGGGCTTCAAGGCCACATGTGCCCCTCTAGGTCCTCAGGTGTGGACTGATTTGACTGATTCACTCAAAAGGCCACACTTGAGGACCTAGAGGGGCCCATGTGGCCTTGAGGCTGCAGGTTCCCCACCCCTGCATCAGTCTCAACAAGTGATCATTCAGTCCCTGCTTGGTGCTCTTCTGCCCATAGGGACCTCACACCTCCTGTGAGCCAGAGTGCATTGTTGGAGAGCTCTGATAGGAAGTTCTTTCTTAAACTGAGTCCAAATCTGCCTCCCTTTGACATCCTTGCCCTGGCCCTACTTCACTGCATCACAGCATTTTGAGCCGAAAGGGTCCTTAGAGACAAAGTCAGGCCCAGAAGGTCAAGGGACTTGCTCAGGGTTACCCAGGACAGCTAACAGAGTTGAGCTCGAAACTCAGGTCTCTTGACTCCCAACCCCTGGCAGCCAATCTTGCAAACTTCAAGGCTACAGGATCTGCTGCAGGTCCCGCTAATCTGAATGGTAATCCCTCAGTACCTGAGGAAGTGGTCTTCTTGCACTGCTACAAAGTCTCAGCTGTGACTGGGGCAGACCTGGCGTACAGCATGCGCTTAATAAATGCTTGTTTCCTTTCATTAGCCTCCACATTTAGTGAGGCCAATTCTTACATGGCGGAGGTACAGGCCATAAATCCCCGGGCCCATATTTGAAGCCTTATTGGGTTGGTAGAATCTTCTAGGACTCGGATTTCCCTGGCTTTGGCCCTCAGTAACTCAGTGTCACCATGATGCATGGGAGCCAGACTTGATTGGAGCCTGGGGTCCAAGATAAGGAATAGCCCCTGTCTTTGGAACACTTTAAGACTCACAAAGCACTCCTGCCGCTCCCACCTCCCAGGGACATAGTACAAATATTTGTGTTATTGATTTCACTTCACAGGACCGGTCCAAGGGGGAGGGGCTGCTTCCTTAATGGGTTGCCTAGCACAGTGCCTGACACATGACAGGTGATTCAATTGTGCCTGCCAACTGATTGATTATGTCCAGCTGGGTCTGAGTTTCCCACACGGCTTTGACCAGATGCTTCATGTGTGTTCCCTCTCATCCTGAGGCCCAGCCTGCATCCTCCGGCTCCCTATGGGTACCTGAGGTGATGAGGCTATTGAGATCCCGGATGATGGCTCGGAAGGAGGGCCGCAGGTGAGGAGTGTACTCCATGCACTGGCCGATCAGGGTGGCTAGCTCTGTCCATTTCAGGGCTGGCAGCTGCTGCTTCTCCTTGTAGAACTGGAGTTTCTGAAGGAGGAAGGGAGGGATGAGACAGAACCTCCAATTCAGGGCCCCTACCTGGGCTGCCTAACTCACCCATTGATAACCCTAATGAAAGGCATTTTAGAGAGCATAGGATACCAGAGGCAGGGGTGGGGACATCCTTAGATTAGAGACAGAATATCAGAGAAGGGAGAGTACTTAGAACAGGGAACTAAGAGGATAATTATAGTACAGAATATCACGGTTGGGAGGGCTCTTAGAACCTAGAATGTCAGAGCTGGGAGGGCCCTTAGAACACAGGATGTCAGAGCTGGAAGGGCCTTTGGACATAGAATGTCAGAGCTGGGAGGGCCCTTAGAACACAGGTTGTCAGGGCCCTTAGAACACAGGATGTCAGAGCTGGGAGGGACTTAGAACACAGCATGTCAGGGCTGGGAGGGCCCTTAGGACACAGAATGTCAGAGCTGGGACAGATGTCAGAACATAAAACAAAGGTTAGAACCCTTAGAATAAAATTAGGGAAGAGAAAGAGGAAGGGAAAAAGCATTTATTAAGTACCCGCCACATGCCAAGCACTGTGCTAAGGGCTTTTTAAATATTATTTAATTCGATCCTCACAACAACACTGTGAGGGAGGTGTTATCATTATCTCCATTTTCCAGTTGAGGAAACTGAGGCAGGCAAATGTACAGTGACTTGCCCAAGCTCACACGGCTGGTAAGTGTCTGAGTCAGGTCTTCCTGATGTTAAGCTCATTACTCTGACCACTCTGCTACCTGGCTTTCTCTAGTCAGGAGCTCAGTATTTGTTTTTTGTCTGATTAAGTACGTGCATGTTGTCTTCCTTGATGGAATGTAAGCTCCCCGAAGGCAAGGATGATTTCATTTCTGTCTCTGTCTTCCCACTGCTTAGCACAGCGTCTGGCATATAGTGGAACTTTGTAAACTTTCCCTAATGGATTGGCTAAGTCCCAGAACTGGGAGGGACCTTAAAAGCACAGAATAATGGATATTAGAACACAAGTTGTCAGGACTCAGGGGGATTTCAGAAGTTCTTCAAACCCACCTCTCTCGTTCTAGATAAGGGGAAACTGAGGCAGCCTAGGGAGGGGAAGACACTTGCCCAACACCAGAGAGCTGATTGATAACAGAGCAGGGTTCAGAACTGAAGCCTTCCACCTCCCAGTGGCTCTACCCTTACCTTGGTGGGCTCCAGGGCACTTAGGGGAATGGTGCCCCCACTGAATATCTCCCAGAGTGTTGCCCCAAAGCTCCACTTGTCAGATTCCAGGCTCAGCAGCTTGGCATCCCACAGACACTCGGGAGCCAGCCAGGGGATCCGGTCAGTGAGCACTGAGGGGGAAGGATCACAGCAACATCATGGAGTGGGGGCACAGTGGTGCCTCAAGCCCCATAACCCTCCTGCTCGGGGCCAGCTATTCTCCACCCTCACCCCCCATCCCTGGCTGACAGTCCTCTCTCCCTGACTGGCACATCAGGAGAATAAGGGCTGTGGCCAAGCAGGTGCCAGGGGGGACAGTCTTCTCCACACTCACTCTCTTTGGTCAGCACAGTGGGACTGACCCCAGGGTCGCTGAGCTTGATGAAAGGGGGGCTCCCCCCAGTTCCTTCCCTCGCTAGGAGGACCTTCTTGGAGGAGATATTGCCATGGATGATGCCTTTGTCTTCCTAGGTGGGAGGCAAAGATCAGGACAATTAAGTTGGAGGAGGGACACCCCCATCAGGGAACTGCCCATGGCTGGAAACCAAAGCTGGGCAGAGGATGGGGGAGGCAGGGAGTGAAGGGGAAGCTTGGCAGGGGCAGGAAGGACTGCACCCACCACATCCATACAGGTCACGGTCGGGGGGGGGCCGGCAGCTCAAAGTCTCCAGGATTGGGGAAAGCTCAGCCCAGACCACCCTCCCATCTCTTAAGCTCACCAGGTAGTTGAGAGCGTAAGAAAGTTGCTTGGCCACTTGGAGCTTCCAACTGGCAGGTACCAGGGGCCCGCACTTCCGTAAGTGGGTATCGAGTGCCCCCCATCTCACAAACTCCTGTACCATGATACCTGGAGAAGGGTTATGAAAGCAAACATGGCAGACAAAGGGAGAAAGAATGGGAAAGGAGACATGAGGGTTGGGGAAAGAAGGATGGGAGAGGCTCTGACCAGGGCTAGGGGAATGGGAGAAGGCCCAGAGCCCTGGGCTGAGGAAATGGGGGAAGGGGGCAGGGCCCCTGAGCTGGGAACTCACTATCTCCTGCCATGCAGACACCATGCAGCAGCACCAGGTGCTGGTGGGACACTTGACTCATGATGCTGGCAGCCTCTAGGAAGGACTGAGAAAGAGAATGGTGTGAGGACATGGATGCCCAGCCTCCTAGGGCATTCCTCTCCCTCCCCACTCCATTCTGATCCAAGGGTCTGGGCCCAGCAAGCAGATGTTGCCATGTGGGAGGAAGGGGCATGGGTGTGGGCAGAAACAGAGCCATGGGTCATTCCATCATCGGTCCAGAATGTGAGCTGATGGGATCATCTGGTCCCCCCTATCTCTGAACAGGAGCAGTCTCTCTCTGTCTCTGTCTCTGCCTCTGTCTCTGTCTGTCTCTGTCTCTCTCTCTCTGTCTTTCTCCCCTTCTCTCTCTCTCTCTCTCTCTCTCTCTCTCTCTCTCTCTCTCTCTCTCTCTCTCTCTCTCTCTCTCTCTCTTTTTCCTTTCTCTCTGTCTCTGTCTCTGTCTCTCTCTCTCTCTCTCTCACACACACACACACACACACACACACACACACACACCCCTCCCAATAACCAATCATTCTGACAGCTGGGCAGTTCTCCCTCAGGCCTGGCCTAAATACCCTTCTCAGGATCCTCTTGACAGAACAGCTGTTTTCTGTCTGCCATGTGACTACTATAGCTCCCAAGTCATAGAGCAAAAGGGTCTGATGCTAAAAGGGTTGGGGGGATGAGGTGGAGGCAGGGGGAGGGATGTCTGTTCTCAGAACCAGAAGCTAAGTGGATTATATACTAAAAGGCTACATCAGGCCATGACCTAAGATGAGAGACCTTCCTATGAGAAGCCGGAGAGAGACTGAAATAGAGAGTAACAGTCTGGCTCTCCCTCTGGGTCCCCTGTGGGCCTAGACAGGTAGTTGGGTGTCCAATTGTATTGGACACAGTGTTATGGGAACTTTTAGGAGGGAAGGTGGTGGTGATGAGAAAGTCATCATGCGAAATGAGGACTCTAGATATCCACTTGTGAACTCCTAGAATACAGAACATCAAAGTTGGAAGGGACTTTTGAACATAAAATATCAGGGGCCTTTACAATACAGGATGTCAGAGCTGGGAGGGCCCTTAGAACACAGAATGTCAGAGCTGGGAGGGCTCTTAGGGCACAGAATGTCAGAGTTGAGAGGACCTTTAGAACACAGAATGTCACAGCTGAGAGGGCCCTTAGAACCCAGAATGTCAGAGTTGGGAGGGCTCTTAGAACACAGAATGTCAGAGCTGGGAGGGCCATTAGAATGCAGAATGTCAGAGGTGGGAGAGCCCTTAGAACACATAATGTCAGAACTGGGAGGGTTCTTAGGGCACAGAATGTCACAGTTGGGAGGACCTTTAGAACACAGAATGTCAGAGCTGGGAGGGCCCTTAGAATACAGAACATCTTTCTTTTTCCTTAAAACACAGGATATCAGAGCTGGCTAGGGCCTTACAGACTCTTTATAAAGTTCAGCTCCATCATTTCATAGAAGAGGAAACCAACGCCTAGAGAACAGAGCATGATATTTCCAAGATTATATAGGAAGTCAGAGCAGAGTTGGAGCTAGAAGCCAAATGTCATAATCCTCAGTCTAGTTCTTTCTCCCACCCCCTCTCCCCTGGCTTCCTCCTGGGATCCAAAGTAAGACAGACAAAAAGGGCCGATGATCAAGGGATGACCCTCAGGAGAACCGAAGAGCCCAGATCTCCTCATCTCGAAGCTGGAAGGGACAGTGCAGTCCGTTTAGTGAAGTCCAGCCTGACCAGGATAAGGAATTTCCTCTCCAGCCTTGGGTTATCTGGGTCGTCTGGCTCATCTCATTTCTCCCTCCCCCCCCCGTGGAAATCGCCAGACCCGAATGTGGGTTTGACAGGTTTGGGACGGCTCTCTGTGACATCCCAAATGCGCGTCCCAGAGAGAGCAGGCCTCTCACTCGCCAACATCAAGCTGGCTCGGCAGCCCCTGCCAGGGTGTCCCCAGCCCCCACTCCTTGCCTTGGCTTTCCCTGACCCCGGCTGGCTGTCTTTCCCTACTGATGGCACCTGTGCATTCACACCATCTTTGCTCAGAGCATAAGAAGCTCAGCTCTCCCCTCTCCAGGAAGAGGCTCCTATCTCAAATGTAACTCCAAGAGTTCAGGTTCTTCTCGGCTTTCTCTGGGCTGAATTCTATCCTCTATCCTCCTGACGGGCCAAGCCGCCCTTCTGCCTCTCCAGAGCTTCATCTTTTCTTTGTTTCTATCTTGAAGCTCTTCCTTCATTCCCCTCCTCCAGGAAGATTTCATCCTCCCCAGTAACCTAGAGAGTGGAGGAATGTTCTTTCCTAGGATGGGGACCACCCTGCTGCATAAGAACAGAGGGCAGGCCCTTGACCGTGGCATTTGTACAAACATTATGCACTTTTTGAAGGTTGGAGGGCTACTGACCTTGCTTCTTGGAAGAGTGTGGTCTGGCAGGAGGCCCAGAGGAGATGCCCCGACTGGGCCTTGGCCACCCAAGGGGCGAAAAATACTGGGGTGCTGGGATCCATGCCTGGCTGGCTGCCACTGGCTGCCTTGTGGATGTGGGAGTGGGGGTGGGTAGGGAGCAGAGGCTCTGGGGGAGGACGGAGCGGGACCAGGGCTGAGGACACTCACCTCAATGCAGTTCTGGTGTGTGCTGTCCATCACCTTGAGCAGGATCTCTACCTTGTGGGTCTCCCCGTCCACCTTATCCAGGCGGCTACCACGGTAGATCTTGGTGAAGGAGCCGTGGCCCAGGTTCTCATGCTGGGAGTGGGGAGGAAAACAAGGAGCAGGGCTTACCTTTAGTGGGGTGGCGGTGGGGAACAGGACTCACCTCATGGATCTGTGCTAGACCTGGGAAGTCATTCCTATTCCCATTTTCCAGATGAGGAAACTGAGGCTCAGATTGGGAAGAGACTTGTTCAAGGTCACTCATCAAGTCAGAGGCAGAATCAGGACTAGAACCCAGAGTCCAAGGCTCCTTCCCCTAGTCTATCCTATCCTCTCCCCCACTTTTTCCTCTGCCTTGCTCCATTCCTGCCCCTTCTCCCTGCCCCCCATCCCCATGCTTACCCACTCCAAGCTGTCAGCAGGGATTTTGTGGAACATCATTTGGTTGAGCTGGCACTGGGGCTGAGGCCAGGCCTGGGCTGGGGTTAAGGTGCAATCCCTTCTCACTATGATCAGGTTGGACTTCTCTGTGGGTTGGGATTAAAAAGAAGTAAATCTCCATCAGGTCTCCTACTTCATCCCCATATTCCAACCTCAGATAGTGGAGAAGCAAGAGAGGGGCAGGTGACAAGAGGTTCACTCACCTTTGGGCCTGGGGGGACAGCAGCTACTGAGGCTCAGTGCAGTCCCATCTACAAGGAGCCCGCAGCCCCTGGAGGACTCCAGCAGCTGTCGCAGGCTGCTGTGGGCCCGGCTCAGCCCAGACAAGAAGAGGTTCCCTGAAACGTCCCGGTGGATTAAGCAGCCCTTGTAGTCTGGGCCCAGGGACGTCTGGAAGGGCAGGCAGGAGAAAGGGACTCTCAGTAGGCCTGGCCAGCCAAGAGAGCCCTAGAAGGCCGATGTGATCTGTTTGATCCCAAAGTCCTCCTTTATGAGAGGTGTCTGTGGGCTTCGCAGTTGCTGTTCAGTTGTTTCAGTCACGTCTGACTCTTTGGGATCCCCTGTGGGGTTTTCTTGGCAAAGATACTGGAGTGGTTTGTCATTTCCTTCTCCAGCTCATTTTTACAGATAAGGAAACTGAGGTAAACAGGGCTAAGTGACTTGGCCAGGGTCACACAGCTAGTAAGTGTTTGAAGCCAGACTTGACCTCAGAAAGATGAGTCTTCCTGACTCCAGGCCCAGCCCTCTGTCTACCGCACCACCCAGCTACCCATGCCTGTGGTCTTAGGGAGCCCAATAAAGCCGGCTGTCTATACTCCATATGGTGGAGCAAACAGCTGAGCAGGTGGATGAAGCTATAGGTATAACAAGTCCCCCAGGACCCTAAGTTATAGTTGCTCTGCTAGGCAGAGGGAAAGAGTGGGCAAAGACCATTGGGCCTAACCTGGATACAGACAGTGAGGAGGAAGCTGTTGAAGTCCTGGGGGCTTTGCCGAAGGACGTAGGATCCCGGAACTGACCCCCCCAACTTCAGCTTGTTCACGGCAAACTCGGACCTACGCGGACAGAGGCAGAAAAACAGCCAGAAAGGGAGAGAAAAACAGAGTTGGAAAGATTCAGAGAGAGAAAGAGGCTAAAGGTCATTGTTATTTCCCTGTCCAGCCCTGGGGCTCTTTGACCTGAGGCTTGTCTAGCCTCAGGCCCAGGCCCAACCTTCTATCTCCCCATCTCCAAGCCTATTGCTTCTACATTCCTCCCACAGTAGGACCCTAGGATTTAAAACTGGAAGCAATCTTAAAGGTCATGCAGTCCAAACCCCTCATTTTACAGGTAAAGAAACTGAGGCACAGAAAAGGAGAGATGACTTGTCCAAAGTCACAAAGATATATGAGGTGGGGATTCTGACCCATATCCCTTAACATGAGTTTTTTCCACTACACCCCATTGTCTCCTCACCCCCCCAGGATCAAAAGTAATACAACTAGTACCCTTGCCTGCTCTTTGGGAACCCAGCTCTTCAAAGCCCCAGTGCTATCTTTGGCCCCTTAATTGCCTCTGTTGATCTTCCCAAGGTCATTGCTCCTCATTTCCATGTCCAAAAGAGATCGGGCCCATGGCTGCCTGTAGGCTAGAGGGGAGGAGCCTTGGCCCCAGTGTTTTGTTTTTTGTTTTTTTTTTTGACAGGCTTATATAATCTCAGAAGTGTTCACAGCCCAAGAAAGGGTTGAGATCTGGGGAAGGGGTGGGGTGGTTGTTTCTTACATGATGGGACCATGGCATTGGTTGTCAATGTTCTCCAAGAGCTGGGGTGGGGCCACCTCTTTGCAGAAGTAGTGGTGGGCATCAGTTGTGAGTCGGTAGTAGCCATCAACCAGAGAGATAAAGGACAGCGCCTCCCTTAGAGCTGGAAATTCAACTTCCTGTAAATATAGAACGTCAGAGAGAGAAAAGACATAGAACCTAGAATGTCAGAGCTGGGAGAGCCCTTAGAACACAGGATGTCAGAGCTGGGAGGGCCCTTAGAACATGGAATGTCAGATCTGGGAGGGTCCTTAGAGCTGGGAGGGCCCTTAGAACACAGAGTATCAGAATTGGGAGGAACCTTAGGACACAGAATGTTAGGGCTGAGGGGATCCTTAGAATCCAGGGCATCAGAGTTAGACAGGATCTCAGCAAGTAGAACATCTGAACTGGGAAATCCTTTAGGATATAAACTCCATCCTGTCTTCTCTGGCGGATAATCCCTCCTATCATCTCCATTCTCTCACTGATCTTTTTTTTTTTTTTAATTTTTGCCTGGGCAATGGGGTTAAGTGACTTGCCCAGGGTCACACAGCTGGTTAGTGTTATGGACTGAGGTCGGATTTGAACTCAGGCCCTCCTGAATTCAGGGCCAGTGCTCTATCCACTGCCCACCTAGCTGCTTCTCTCTCATTGATCTTCAATCTCTCCTTGCCTAATGGCTGCTTCCCTACTGCCTACACACATCCCCTGTGTATCCTCCATCCTTGAAAAACTGCCCCATGATTCCCCCACCCCCACTACCCTAAATCTCTCCTTCCTTTTAGTGGCTAACTTGCTGGAGAAGGTGATCTGTATGACAGACACCTCTACTTCCTTTTCTCTCACTCTTAACTCTCTGCAGTTGGGCTTCTGTCCACATCATTCAACTGAAACTCTTCTCTCTAAAATGACCAGTGATCTCTTAGCTGCCAAATCCAGCGGCTTTTTCTCATTCCTCATTCTCCTTGACCTCTCTGCAGCCTTTGACACCTCTTCTCCTTGATACTCTCTTCTTTCTAGGTTTTCAGGACACCCCTCTCTCCTGGTTTTCCTCTTCCATATGTGATTGCTCCTTTTCTGTCTCCTTCCCTGGCTCTTCATTCATGAGGGTCTCCCAAAGGCTCTGTCCTGTCCCTCCTCTCTCCCCTCCCCTTCTCTTCTCTTCTCTCCTTATACTGTTTTGCTTAGTGATCTCATCAGCTGCCATGGTTTCAAATATGCCTCAAGCCCCTCCCCACTCCAGTCCATCCTCCCTCCATTCAGCCACCAGAGCGATTTTTCTATATCCCAGTTCTGACCACCTCCTTATTGAATAAACTCCAGTGGCTCCCTATGACCTCTAGGATCAAACAGAAAGTCTCCTGGCCCCTTGCTAGCTTTCCAATCTTCTTACGCCTGACCCCTCTCCATGTACCCTAGATCAGTGACATTGGCCTCCTGGCTGTTCTGTGAACGAGACTTTCCATCTCCCACCTCTGAGTATTTTCACTGGCTGTTTCCCAAGCCTGGGATGTTCTCCCTCTCTATCTCTTCCCCCTGGCTTCCCTGGCCTCCTTCAAGTCTCAGCTGAAGTCCTACCTTCTGCAAGAAATCTTTCCCAGTCCTTCTTAGTCTTCGTGTCTTCTCTCTGAGACTCCCCCCAACTCACCCTTACATATCTTGTTTGTGTATAGTTGTCTGCATGCTGTCTCCTCAATTAAACTGTGAGCTCCCTGAGAGCAGGGGTTGTCTTTTGCCTTTCTTTGTACTCTCTGACTCTACATGCAAATTCCTAGAAATTGTCTTGCTATGCAAAATTGATCAATAAAAGCCATAGGACTTAGGGGAAATATGGGATTGGGACATAACATTCAAAAACTTCATTAGTGAAGCATGAAGAAGATGTTCAGTCATTTTCAGCCGTGTCTCAGTCTTCACAACCGGCAGAGAAACTGGAGTGGTTTGCCATTTCCTCCTACAGCTCATTTTACAGATGGGAAACTGAGGCAAACAGGGTGAAGTGATTTGCCCAGGGTCACACAGCTAGGAAGTGTCTGAGGCTAGATTTGAACTCTGGAAGATGAGTCTTCCTGACTCCAGCCCCAGCCCTCTATTGGCTGCTCCATCTAGCATAAAGGAGACAGGAGTCTAATAAAAACGGTAGCACAGTATTGAATATGTTAAATAGTTAAGAAATGCATGCATACTACAGAAATGTTGGTGATACCAGTGGCCTTGGGATGATATCGTCTGCACCCCCAGTTCCATGGGGCCCCAGAGTGGCCTTGGTGGATAGCAACTCCAGAAAGCAGGGGCAGAGACAGCAGAAGGTGAGGAGGAGGAAGTATGGACTAAGTGGGTTTGGACCAGCTATCTTCCGCCCACAGCTTCTACTGCACCAGAATAAATAGATCTTGAAATAGATCTTAAGTCTGCTTGTGAAAACTGGAAGTGAGAGAGGAAAGGGTTATATAGCTTGTAAATTACCGTAAAATGTTGTCATCCCACTGATATGTGTTTGAGTGTGTGTGTGTGTGTGTGTGTGTGTTTTATGCTCTGTTCAGCTGGGTACAGCTTTCCATTTCTTGTTAAGAAAATTAAGCAAAGTAAACTCAAAATTTCTAATATATCAATTATTTTGGAACAAATTCATGTTTTCAAAGCAAGCGTTATAACAGAACTGACTGTATACCCTTGTTCCTGAAATATAGCAGGTGCTTAATAAGTGCCAGCTGATTGTCTGAGAACGTAAGAGCCGGGAGGGCTCTTAGAACAGAGAATGCCAGAGCTCGGAAGGGCGTGAAGGACCATCTAGTCCGTCTTCTGTCCTGACATCTTACAGACGAGGAAAGTGAGGCACAGAAAGAGTTATGTAATAAGGCCGCTCCCTCCCCTTCGCATCTCAGCCCACACTTTACAGCCGGTCGCCTCTGCCCTGTAGTGAAGCAGCAGGGGCACTGCCCACTGTGGTACTCACCAGGATCCTGTTGTCAGTCTTGGTAACAGTGACCAGTCGGCTCTCGCTGAGATGACCTTCCCTGCAGGCCTGCTTGATGCCGATATCAACGATTTCAGGGAAATCGCAGAAAGGCTGTGGGCTCTGGCCAGAGGAGAAATGGAGAGAGGCAAGGGGAGATCAGATGAGGGGCCCCTCATCAGAGCCATTCATCCCCCATCCCACCCTTGAAGCAAAAGGGGACCCAGTAGCAGCACCTCACTGCCCTCAGGGGTCCAGGAGATGCCGCTGTCTCCCGCCACGTGGATGAGACAGTTGGAGTCCCGGCCAGATGTAGCCCCTGGCGTCCGGCCCTCGAAGGTCTCTGAAGCCCGGGTGGATTTCAGCCTCTCCAGGTCCATGAGGTATTTTAGCATGATTGAGTGCACATCTGCCTGGCAGGATGCCACTCTCTGCAGGGCTCGGTGCACCATCTGACGATAACGCTTCCGAGTCATGAAGCTGAGACTCTGAATCAATCGTCGGAAGCTTCCTGGGATACAGGCTTTGTAGCTGGAGGAGGAGAGGCCATGGACTGATCTCATATCACCCATACCCAGAGGTCTTCTGAGGTAGGGGCTGGGGAGTGGTCATCGGAGCAAGGTGACATACTACCTAGGGCTTCCTTCCTGCCAGGGTTCCTTGCTCCTTCCCCTATTTCTGGCTGAATGTTGACTCTCCCCTCCTCCTCTCTATCTCTTATGGACACTGCTGTTCATCCCACACAGATGAGCAGGGAGTCACCAACTGGTAAGACTTGACTCTACCATCTGCCCTGATGCTATGCCCTCCAGATCCCTAGGCACTGCCATCTGACCTGTCAATGCACCCTAAGCCCCCTGCGACTTGCTGCTTCCCTACCACTTCAACCTTAGGAAAGCTGAAAGACCACCAGTCTTTCCACAGACCCTCCAGATGACCCCTCTTCCATGTCTGGAACCCCCCAATTAGAATGCAGGAACTGTATTGCATTTCCTTTTGTATCCCTGGTAGTTAGCACAGTCTCCCACATATGTAACCTGGGTCTCCAGCCAAGCCTGGTGCATGTGCCTGAGACTCTCTTAATTGGTGGAGGAAAAAACTGATTTGATCCTGTGTGACTGGATGAAAGCTTTGGAGAAGAAAGATTCTTCATTTTTTTGAGAGACACATGTGGTTCTAGAGTGTCTTTGGGATTAACTCCAGGGAGGAGAAACAGAATCTTTTATGGACACGTAGGGGAATCTGGCTCCTTAACATGTCCTCAGTTTCCAGCTTGCCTCCCCAGAAACTGCAAGGAAATTCCCTTTGGGTGAGACCAGGGCCTCCATTTTGGTGTGGTTGAGTGATACCTCACTCCCAGAAGGAGAGCTCATTCACTCTGTGTACTTTCTGGTATGATTTAATCTTCAACTTCTTCCATTTCTGTTTACTATTTGCTTAGGTAATCAGGTTTACTCATTGTTTATACACTATTTGTGATGGCTGTTTATGTAACTAGCATCTGGTGGCAATGAGTCAAGCTGGTAGATGTAAGCTAAGGGTTATACCTTAGGTTGCCTCCTCCCTTTAAGGGATAGTGATCAGGGAACCTAGGAACTTTGTGTACCCCTAGACCAGGAATATTTAGGGGAGCAGACAGATATAATTCAGATCCAAGATCCCCCTTCTCAGAGGAGAACAGAGCAACAAGCCTCATGGTACTCCCCTCAAGGCAGGAATCTCAGCCTCCCACTGACACTTGGTGGAAAAGATTCCAGAGATATCTATCAGTGTCTCCCTGCTGAACTGTCTGTCTGTATGTGTGGACACCCCATGTAGGCACATACATCTTACATGGGCAGTGCACACAATATTCATAGTAAATGCTTAATAAATGCCTTTTTTATTCATTCATCACCAATACGTCAACAAGCATTTTATTAAGACCTTACTAAGCACCAGGCGCTATGCCAATCACTGAGGATAGAAAAAAGGCAAAAATAATCCCTGTCCTTAAGGAGTTTATATTGTAAAGATAACAAGTACTATAACTATGTACATACAAGAGACAGAGAGATACATAGACTGATTAGACAGAGAGATAGAGAGATTAGATAAATGATCGATTAGATAGATTAGATAGATAAATGATAGATTGGTTAGCTAGATTAGATAGATCGACAGACAGATAAATGATAGATTAATAGATTGGTTAGATAGATAGACTGATTGATTAGATAGACAGATAGATCAGACAGATAGATGATAGATAGATAGATAGATAGATAGATAGATAGATAGATAGATAGATAGATAGATAGATATGGTGAATTAGAAATAATCTCAGAGAAAAGGCACTAGCTTTGGGGGAGATCTTTAAAGGCCTCCTGCAGATGGTGGGATTTTTGAGTTGAGTCCTGAAGGAAGTCAGGGAAGTCAGGAGTTGGAGATGAGCATAGGAGAGCATTTCAAACATGGCAGACAGCTAATGTAAAAGCACAAAGCTGAGAGATGGAGTGTGGTGTGTGAGAAGTAGTAAGGAGGCTGGCGTTGCTGGATAGTAAAGTACTTGGAGGAGAGTAAAGGGTAAGGCTAGAAAGGAAGGAAGGAGCCAGGTTGTGGAAGGCTTCCAATGCCAAATAGAGTACTTTATATTGGATCCTAGCGGTAATAGGGAACCAGCAGAGTTTACTGAGTAGGGAAATGACCTGGTTAGACCAAAGGTTTCCTTTCTACCGCTGCTCTTCAGGAATATCACGTAGGCAGTTGAGTAGAAGATGGACTGCAGTGGGGAGAGACTTGAGGTGGGCTGACCCACCAGCAACTCTTGCCATGATCCAAGTGTGAGGTGAAGGGGTGGTGGTGTCAGAGGAGAGAAGGGGATGTATTTGGGAGATATTAAAAAGGCAAAATTGGCAGATCTTATTAACAGATTGAATATTGCGGGGAGCGAGGGGGTGAGAGAAAGACAGAAACAGAGACATGTAGGTTTGGAGCCTGGGAGAATGGGAGGATGGTGGTGCTCTCAAATAGTATAGGAAAGTTAAGAAGGGAGGGCTTTAAGGGGAAGAGGATAAGGTCAGTTTTAAGCACTTTGGGTTTCAGATGTCTGCAGGATATCCACCACAAGACCTCTAATAGAAGTTGGAGATGTGAGACTGGAGGTCAGCAAAGAAATCAGGGCTAGATAAGTAGATATGAGAATCATTAGCAGAGAGATGGTCATTAAATCCACAGGAACTAATGGGATCACCCTGTGAAGTGGTAAAGAGGGAGAAAAGAAGAGGGCCCAGGACAGAACCCTGTGGGACACATATGCTTAGAGGGCGTGATCTGGAGGAGGATGCAGCAAAGGAGACAGAGAAGGGGTGGTCAGAGAGGTAGGAGGAGAACCAGGAGAGGCGTATCGTCCTGAAAACCTTGAGAAGAGAGAATATGAAGGAGGAGAGAGTGATCCATACTGCCAAAGGCTGTGGAGAGGTCAAGGAGAATGAGGACAGAGAAGAGGCCAATGGGTGTGGCAACTAAGAGATCATTGGTAGCTTTGAAGAGAGCTGTTTCAATGCAATGATGGGGACTGAAGCCATACTGCTGACAGTTTAGAGGAGAGGGAGTGAGGGAACAATTTCATTCACAACACACGGAAGCACGAAGACAAAATGTGTGGAAGAATTGGCTAGACAACAGCTCTTATGACAACGACAGAAGTGGGGGGGGGGACTGTGATTTGGTGCAGTCATTCTAGACATCAGTTTGGAACTTGACCTCCCTAAAATCACTAATTCTGCATACCCTTTGACCTAGCAACATTACGCTCCCATGTCTGGAATGTTCTCCCTCCTAATCTCTGCCTACAGACCTCCTTGGCTTCCTTCAAGTCCCAACTACACTCCGTCTTCTGCAGAAAGCCTTCCCCAGCCCATCTTAATTCCAGTGCCTTCCTTCTGTGAATCATCTCCCATTCATCCTGTATATAGCCTCACTCTCTCTTCTGGAGTCATCGAGTGAGGCTGACAGCTTTGTGCAGCTCTGCTTCACTTAAATCCAATTCACTCATGAGTCCTCTTCCAAAGGGAAGGGCAAACAACAACATCCTGTATGCAGCTTGTATGGACATATTGGTTTGATTTTTATCTTCCCCATTAGATTGTGGGCTACCTGGGGGCAGGGACTTTCTTTTGCCTCTTTTTGAATCCCCAGAACTTAGAACAGTGCCTGAGAAATTGTAGGCACTTAATAAATGATTATTGACTGGTAACTACAGAGATGGAAAAAAGAGAAAAAGGACCTGTATGTGCAAAACTCTTTCCAGCAGCTTTTTTTTTTGTAGTTGCAAAAACTGGAAACTATAAAAGCCCACAAATTGGAGAATGGCTGAAGAAGTTATGTTGTATTACTACATGTGTGCTGCAAGAAATGATGAAGAGGATGGTTTCAGAGAAACCCGGGAAGATTTGCATGACCTGATGCAGAGCGAAGTGAGCAGAACCAGGAGAACAAGCTAAGCAGTAACGACAAAGACAAACAACTTTAAAGACTCTAGACCTCTGATCAGCAAAGTGAGAAACCGCAATGGCAAGGGTCCATTGAATGCTGTCTGCCTCCCAACACACAGGTGACAACTAGGATGCAGAATGTTAACATACACTTTTGGATGCAGCCAATGTGGAAATTTGTTTTGTTTGACTACACATACCTGTTACAAGGATTTTTGTTTTGTTTTGTTTTTCCAACGGGGGGAGGTCAGGGGGAGGGAAAAGAATGCTTGTTAATTGAAAAAATTAAATTTAAAAAAAGATCATGGTGGTGTGGTAGTGGGCTGCAAGTTCAAGACGAGGCAAAAAGAATGATATTGTAGCCAGGAAAGCAAGAGAGGCCTAACTAGGGATGGCAGCACTGTCACCAGCCCTGGTCAGACCCCATCTGCAGTATCTCCATTTCAGGGAGTATATTCCAGAAGAGAGAGACTGGGATGTGGCGAAGCCTGGAGGTCATGATAATATACGAGGCTAGATTGAAGGAAAGGGGGTGGATGTTAAGTCTGTAGAAGACTTGGGACAGAATAAGAGTCAGTTGTCTACAAGCTGGAATGAGCACTGACTCTAGGTTCAAATCCTGATCAGACCTTGCACAAGTCACTTAACTTCTCTTGGCCTTAGCTTCCTCACCTGTAAAACGAGGGGTTTGGACTAGATGAGCACTAATGTCTATTGTGGCTCTACATCCATGATCCTAAGTTAAGCACATGTAAAAGATTTCTACTGAGGCTGACGTGGTGATCCTTTAACAGATTTCAACTTAAAGTAAGCAAACACTCCCTAATCAATAGCGTCCTCCCAACATGGGATGGGCTACTTTGGGGGGGGGGGATTGACTTCCCCATTCCTGGAGGCCAGCAAGGTGAGACCGTGTTATATATAATACTATATATAATATGCACATTATATTATACATTACATAACATACATGCATGTTTGTATACATATAATATATAGTATATATATTCCATATTACACATTATATAATTTACATGTTATGTATAGTACAATATA